TCAGTTTCATTCCCACCTCCTCCTAGAGCAGGGACTGCAAATCTGATACAAAGCCTTTGACTTGCTGTGTGGCATGCTAGATCAGGGCAAGTGGAGCTCAGTACCCAAGTATGGTAGAGCACTGTTCTAATAGAAGCAGCCTGGGCCTCCAAAACTGCATGAACTGAAGACATGAGCACAAGACTGATAATAGCATGAGGTGATTTTTAAGGTCTCCTATTCCATTGCCACAGTGAGAACTGGCTTGGCTGAGTACTAGACCTACTGCGCTCTTTGAAGCACAAGTCCTGTATTTGTAATCGGAGAGAGAAACCTTTGAGCTCTATCTAGACTTGGCATTCCACAGACAGCTGCTGGCTTCTGCTACCAAGGGCCACCAGGATTTGCCTTGGTTATGAGCCATCCAGCAGATCACAGGTAGATAGATCTCTGTTTTACTCCCCCAGGGTCTTGTGCAAGTTTGCTGCTGTAGCTACCTACAGAGCTCCTTCACTGACACAAGCTGCAGTGAAGTGAAACATGAGCCTACTAGCAATTTTTCCCTCTGTTCTTGGTGAGTGTAGGTGCAGAATGCCTGCAGCTGCTGGAAAGAGAACCCAAAGGATCTGTAGGCTATTTTTTGCTCTTCCCTCACTCTCAGCCAGTTAAAATGTGTAAGCAGCATTGCAGCACCAGACTGATTTCCTCCTCAGCACAGGGCAAGAAAAGGAGATCTGAAAGTGCTCAGAGGAGGGGCCATGGAACAGAGAGCTTCCCTGTTACTCTAAACTAAACCCTGACCCTTCATTTTGCATTTATGGATTCCTTCAAAACCACTGTTAAAATTCTAATAAGCAACTAAATGTTCACTAAGGAAAGCAAAGTGTAGGTAACATTTTGTCTCTCTGGCTAGAGGCCTTGAATCAAACACACACACCACCTTTGAAAACATTTTAATGCCCAAAGTAATTCTTCTTCGGTTTTGTCTTATTTTGTTTTCTTGATGGCTTTAGGCATCACACGGTGACCCGGGGAATAACCAAAGGAGTGAAGGAGGATTTCCGTCTGGCCATGGAGCGCCAGGTCTCACGCTGTGGGGAGAACCTCATGATGGTATTACACAGATTCTGCATTAATGAGAAGATACTACTACTTCAGACTCTGGTCTGAATGAAGGCATGGGTATCCAACAACAGCTTTTTCCTGCTTTTCCCTCAGGAAGGGCAGCAAAGGCCATGTTAATTAACAGCACTGCTGTTGAAACAGAACTAATCTAAAATTGTCCTGTTAGTGTTGGTAAGGGACTCCTGATGAATTGTATGTTCTGGACAGCACATAAACAGGAAAAAATGTGGGTGAACAACCTGTTTTAATGGATCAAATATTTTATAATTAAACTTCCTTTTAAAAAAAATCTTTTTTTGTGATTATTGTAGCCAGGCTTGGGTAAATGCAGAAAACATCCTTTGGAAAGAAAACTATAATTTATTTAAAAAAATACAGAAGAAGTTGAGTATTGTCAAGACTTTTTATTAGCACCAGTTTGGAAGTCACCCTGTGAGTGAATCTTGCAGGTCAGCTTTCTCAAAGGACCTTGAACACTTGACAGAACCATTGCAAATTGATCACCCCTACTATCATTCTCTTTGATATATCAAGTCTGGGGTGTCTTTCTTTTCTGTTAACCTGTTGGGGTTGAATACTTCTCTTTTTTTTAATGAAATCAGGTCTGGGTTTAATATGATCACTGTTAAAAGAAGGATCACACCTGTGAAATCTAGTTCCTTAGAATAAAACTATAGACAACCCCCACTTAATGCTCGGTTCCGGAAAAAATGAGCCTGAAGCTGAAATAGTGTTAAGCAAAACCAAGTTTTGACAAACCAAGATGGCAACTGAGCGTTATAACGAAACTCACTGAGCACTAAGTGGAATCAGGTATCAATGTAAAACGAGCATTAAGCAGGGGTTGCCTGTATATCACTGTTCTCAATGAAGTTTTAGTCAATATTAAGTCGGAGGGTAACAATTTGAAGTGTAGTCTGTGCTATGCGAGCTCTAGGCATCTAGGCTGTGCTAGAGAAATTTACTTATTTAAAGGCCATAAAACATTTCCAGACCATTTGGTAAAAACCATGTGTCTGCCAGGAGCCTACAAAATTAAGTCTATCAGAACAAATAATTTCTTAGCAGGTTTAGGATTGTTGTTTGTCTATTAAAACGTAACTGATTTAAGCTCTGACTGGATGCAGACAAATGGAGGCATTTGTGTTCTCCTGTTGCCACCTAGCCACAGCACAGACTGCTTTGAAGTCTCCCAGCATGCACTGCAAATTGGACCCAAGCTAAAAGTTCTGTGGTCCTCCCCCCTACTCAGAGTGGAACAGTGTTGCAGCGACCAGATGCATAGGAGGGACCTCCTCCAGAGCCAGGAACTTAACTAATAAGCTGCCACTGCAGTGCTGGCAGTTGGAAGCATCAGTCTAACAGCCATGTCCAAGCTCCTGAATTAACTGCAGTAATTTGGCAATTACTCTTTCCTTTGTATTCATTGGCCATTAAATATATATTACATGTTGTGAGTAAGCTGCAGCATCTATAATTGTTCACTTGATGAAAGGCATCAGCTTTTCAGAACAGTAAAAAGCTATTCAGTACATCTTGTATTTATTGTATATACACACACACACACACCAGCAGCACTGTACTGAGCACCAGAACATATACAAAATAGAATATGCAACCAGATGGCCTCTGGCAAGATACTGTGTTTTCATTAACTAGGAAAATACTATCCCTTAGGCACATAAGTCTTAATGAAAGCTTCCCTGGAAATGTAAACTGAACACATGATCCCTTTTTAGTAATGAATCCCAGCTGGAATGGCATGGGTCTGGGGGAGTCCAGCCTCAAGCTCCTGTTGAACTGAGGACAGGACCAGCCTTCAAAAGCACTCTCAGATTTTCCAGAATATCCTTTTCCGGTAAAGCGCATACGATATGACGACCCAAATCGATGTTGCAATCAAATTCTGAGCCAAGTGCTCTGCATGGCTTTGATTGTCCTTCATCTTCCACTTAAAAGGGAAATAGTCTTCAAATACTTCGTGCCCGATGTAGACCAAGATGGAGTTCATTCCTTAAAATAAATTCAAACAGTGCCTTCAGAGAGGACAGTCCCATGCTCAATGGTTTTACAGTGAGCAAGCTGGACATCAGACTGATTCTAGGATGGGAAGTCAAAATATCCTAACTATCAACTCTGGCTTGGTTGCTAACTTGTTATGTGACCTTCCATGCATCATTTTTCTACCCCAGATGCACATTTATAAAGTGGCTGTATTCTTGTGCAAGAGAGTTCCAAGGTTTAATTAATGTCAGGACAGTTCTACAAACATTTTTACCAAATGTTTCTGCTTTTATTATTATTAAATTTGAGTGTCAGGACATTTTAACACTTCAAGAGTTTTCATTACAAAAACATTTTCAGGATTCCAAATAAAAAAACCACATTCAGGAATAGGTGAGACTGTTTGAAACTGCAGTCAAACTAGCTTTTCTTTGCATTAGTAACTAGGATAAGCAGATTGAACTGATGCTTGTGTGACCAAAGAGGCTAACTGGGCTGAGTTTAGCCTGGAGTTTTGGTAATTACAGTTAGGGTGGCCAGAATCTGGAACCAACTTCCTAGAGAAGTGGTCCTCGCCCCTACCTTGGGCACATTCAAAAAGAGGTTAGATGACCACCTGCCTGGGGTCTTGTGAACCCAGCATTCATTCCTGCCTGTGGCAGGGGGTCAGGCTAGATTATCTGATCAGGTCCCTCCTGACACTAGCTACTATGAAAGTATGAAACTATAATTCCTAAGAAGAGTATCTAGATGCCTTTTTCATCCCAGGGAGAGATGGCTGTTCAAGCCTGACAGCAGGCCACAGAGACTGCTCCCACATTGTACCCATTGACACTGGGTAAGAGTTAGTCCCCCAGGTTAATACTATAGTTTTGTTGCAAGAGTGGTGGACGGTACCTGAGGAGAAGAGGAAAAGAGGCTCTGAAAGGGCTAGAGAGAGAAAGCAAGAGTCTGCAATTCTCTCCCTGTCTGTCCTCCCTGTGTTCAGGGCTGAGAAGTTTGCTCTGCTATTTAGGTGACCCCTCCCCCACCAACTTTGAGCAGGAAAACACTCCCCTTCCCAGGAGCTGAGCAAAGGAGAAGCTCTCTTGAGGTAGGGTTGCTACAGATAGCCAGGGAGCCAGAGACAAAGAATAGCCAGTCTTGAAGCCAAAGATTCCCAAGCCACACTAGGGCCTTCAGGGAATCTTCCAAGAGACCAAGACCAAACAAGGTCTTGCTTCTTGGGGAGTCCCGAGGCAGAGCTTCCCCTAAAAAGGGCTGACCCATGACAGCTTGTCTCAAAGGTGGCTGTTAATCAATTTGGCCAGAGGGCTGCCTTAACAGACAAATCCTGAGCTCAGCTGGAAGACATGAGTGTTTTAGTTTGATACCTTTTCTGCTGTTTCTCCCAATTTTGCATGAATAAGCTTCTCTGCCTGATGGAATAGTGCTCTAGCACCATTGCCAGGACCTCCTGGGGCTAAATCCTGTCCCTCTCTCCTCTACCAAAAGTGTACTAAGAAACTAAACCAGTTCTCCAGCTTGCACATGCCTGGCATTTGCACCTTGGTTTCTTTTTTCTTATGGAGCCAAGTGCAAATTCAGCATCTGCCAAGGGCCCAAAGTAAGAACAACAGGCAGAAATCGAGGTAGTACGTTGTGTGTAAGAATATGAACAGCACTCATGGGAGGGACCCAGGAGACGACAAAGGTGAGCTGAGTTGCTCCGCTTTGAGAATGCACAATAGTACGGATCAGTAGCTATGCTCGGACACAGTGTCTTAGGGCTCCCAAGGAGGTAAATTCAGTTTCAAGGGCTTTTCTCCAAGATGAGACCCTGCTGGCTAGGGTGGTTTCTGAGATGGCCCTTGGGAACTGACCCAAGATCATCCTGGTAGCCAGGCAGCTGTCCCTTGGGAACAAGATCATCCTGGTAGCCAGGCAGCTGTCCCTTGGGAACAAGATCATCCCACTCACCTAGAACAACAGTCATCAGGTGGTAGCCCCTTCTGGTCCATACCGAACTGAGGTAGATTTGAACCACCTACTGACAGCCAAACAGAGCTCTATATCCATGACTGATGCAGAGAAACAGTTCAAACCACTAACTTCAGATTCAAAACAAGGTGCAATGGAAAGGCAGATTGCCCCGAGATCAGAAGAGAGGCCAAAAGACAATTTCCCTTGCATAAAAGAGGACAGGACTGCCCTACAGGTAGCTGCATTGGAAAGAAAATGCTTCCTGCCTTGCATATACTGACCTGGGTAGAAAAATGGAGCACCAGACCACCATCTCTTGATATCCACAAGGTAATATATCAGCAGTAAAAGCATGAAGGCAAAACAGCTCAGGGTTGTTACGTAGGACAGAGACCTGCATATTTTTATTGTGAATTTAAAAAGATATTTAGAGAATGGGGCAGATGTCTCTATTAAAAACAAAACAAATGCCATGATCTCTACAGAGATGTATGAATATGCACACTGAACATCAATAAAAAGTTGTGTGGATTTACTTGCCATAGGTTCTTATTTATGGGAATAAATCCTTCATCCTTAGAGCATTTTGTCAAGGCAACAGAAATAACAGCCTGAAATAAGAGTTTGGAGGTTAAGTCAGCTGTTCAGTGCAGTATCCATTAGCAACAGAAAATGTGTGCTGTATAAAAAAGATATTCATGTTTGAGAGTTTCCTAGTTATGCTTAAAACTACCATAGGCAAAGAAAAGTAACAAACTACTGTACATCTTACTTACCATTATTAGACTCCATATGAAAAACCTACTCAGGATCTGCTTGTGCTGGTCTTTGTAAAATAAGATAATTTTTCCTGCCTGAAGTTGAGGAAGAAAAGAATCAAAGCCATCGTAAGAACCAGTAAAGCTCCCCAGATGTATTTACTAATGAGCACTTGCTGCATTTTCAAGCACTAACTTTGTAGCTGGTTGGCTCTTTTTATAGTTGGATGGATGGTTTATGGTGTTATAAATTATTCTGCATGTCTAGTTTTATTGAGTGATTAACCAGTTAATTTTGTATTATATGTAACATGTAGCAGTGGCTTGTGCAACACCTATTTAGCAAAAAAAGTATACTTGATTTCTTCCCCCCACCCGCCACATCTAGCTAAATTACTACCCAAACAGCTCCAGTCCTGCTCAAGCGTATTTCCTATTAGTGCAACCAACAACTATGTACCATCATATTTGTACATGGAGTCCTAGAACCCTCAGAACGCACGCATCCCTTTCAGTCTCGGCATCGAACACCCCTGGTTTTGTATCCAGTTCTTCAGCCTCACACTCGTGTATGTAACTGCTTCTCTGCCCAGAATTCTGACACTTTTACCCAAAAGGTGCACACAGGGTAATTTCTATCTGAAACAGAGGAGGCTTGAGTGAGCACCCAATCAGGCCCCAATGCACAGATCATGGGTATGCCAACAAAGTTGCCCTACACTTCTCTCATGAGTGCAAACCACCATAGTAAACTGAAGATGCATGAAGCACTGCACAGCAAGCTAGAAGCAACATAATGGGAATGAGATAACCAAGATTACCCAGGAAGAGCTTAAAATGAGCACTTTTAGGCTCCCTTTTGCCTTATTTTCAAGGGAACTGAGCACTCAGCTACCAAACCTCAGAAGCAACCACAGGCAACATCTCCAGGCCTTTCCGAGATGTTTTCCTGTGACATTTTGAGATATCATATAACAGAAGTGTTACAAGCCCTGAGCAAAGCCTCTAATTTTTCAAACCACTGCCCACTCCAGTCCATATTATCTGCAAACTTCAACTGGAACATTACTTTTTGGAAGTTCTGGCTGTAACCAATGGTTTTACTTCCTCTCCATACCCCACCCCCCATTGAGTGAGAAGAACCCTTCAGCGGTCTCCAGGAAATGTCAGTTCCTTCAGGCCCAAGAAGGAAACGCCATACCTGAAGTCCCAGGAATGAGAGAGAGAGAGAGAGAGAGAGAGAGAGAGAGAGAGAGAGAGAGAGAGAGAGAGAGAGAGAGAGAGAGAGAGAGAGAGAGAGAGAGAGAGAGAGAGAGGGATTATTAGAAAGTCCCAAGAGGCTCTGAATTTATTTGCCTTCTCTCATACCCCTCTTCCCTGGCTACCATCCACAAGCCCTACCTTGACACCTGGCTATTGTCAATACTGGATTCAGACTGTATTTACACCGTGCTAAATCCTCTCCAACTTGCAGCTCTGGTTAATGATTTGCAGAACAGAATCCATTCACTGCTTCCCATCCCCACAGCCCTGTATGGTGGGTATGACTCCCCCTACCCCTCTACCCCCAGGTAGTGTGGTGTTAGTGAGGAAGCTGCTGGTGAGCTTAACCAGTTGTGGGATGTGCAAGCTGTCCCACCCTTCCAAGGGCATTCCCTCTGCTGTGCCATGTGCCTCCTACTGCACTCAGGGTATTTCCTGGCTGACACAGCAGCCTGATTTGCAGTCCTCAACCCTACACAACCCTGATCCAGCATAGCACTGTTTTCAACATGGATTTAACTCTCAGCATGAGAGCCAGCCTCCTGACTCCACCAAGGCTGACTGTTCCTACTTGAAGTTAAGCACACGTTTAAGTGCTCTGCAAACACTAGTGACAAAGAAGGTAGGCTGGGTTTACCACTCAATACCTTTCTACTTACAACCCATTAGTTCAATGCCACAAGGCACAAAAGGGAGGTTAGAGCAAAAAGCAGCTATTATGTGAAGGAGACACTTGTCACCCTCTGGTGCTACGTATGTGATCTTCATCAGATTTGCTTCCTTTCTTGCCAAAACTGTGTCAGGGCTCCTTTCACTCTTAGTTAGCAGAGAAGGCAGAAAGCCTGGTCCACTGGTTCAGGCACTAAGACCTGAAAAAGCTAAACTGAAGACCCTTCTTCACTACAGACCGCGTGTGATGGCAAGTCACATAAGACTCTCTGTACCTCAGGTGTTAAATGAAGAGGAAAGCACTACCCTACTACACAAGGGAGGGGGGTGTCACATCTACATGGGATACTTACTGCAGGGTTGCTTAATTCACTTTGCAGTAAACATCTCAGCATCTACACGTGCAGTGCTATTAGGACATAGTTAACTAACTCTGCAGTAGGTTAACATTTGTAAATACAAGTACTATCCTACTGTGGAGTTTTTCCGTGCACAGAAGCATATGTGTAGACACTGATGGGACTGGCTGGGGGCACAAGGCTGCTTCAGTGTAGGGGCTGCCGGCTGGCTAGCCCCACACTGGAGCACCCTCGTGCCCCAAACAACCTCTCCACAGCATGTTGAGCCAGGTTGGAGCAGCCCTAAGCTGACGCCCTTGGATCCTGCCACATGGGGCTGCTCCAATCTGGCTCAACATGCTGTGGTCTTGGGCACATCTGCGCCCGCCATTCAGACACGATGCCTGGGATCAATAAACTCCAGTGTGATATGCGCAGGAGTTTATTGCTGCTCATTAATAGCACATATAGATGCGCCCAGGATGTTATAAGGCTGAATATATTACACTGCGAGTTGTGCAGCTACTATGACATTAAGGGCTGTGGCAAGCATGTGACAAGCCCTATAATAATTTATAAATACTGTATGCTGACCTAGTTATTTCAGTGTTTGCTGTAAGAATACACTGTTTTTGTTCAACAGTGGGCAAAAAGCAATGGATTGAGACAAGCCACCCTACAGCAAATGCTTGAAAGTTGTTGTGGAACAATGGTGAAGCTGCTGGCCCTGAGGAGTCTGGCTCAACTTCCTGATTCAAAAGAGCTGGCTGAATCCAGGTGGCCCCTGGAAACTGCTAAGAAGAAAGGGATACTAGCAAAGACAATCTATCATCAGCCAACTGACCAGCTAGGTTCCAGTGGAGACCTTTTTAAGCAAAAAATAACAGAGCTTGGCTTTCAGCTCCCAGGCTGAGCAGACTGTTGGTATTTCAAGAAGAAAACACTCCCTTTCCTTGAAAATTTAGACAGTTTCATATACAACTTCTTGGAATAATAAGTATAGAACTCTGCTACACCATTTCCAGAATAACTTTGGAAGTGCTCTGACAATTCATGTGCAACCTAAAGCCACTTACATTGGAAGATGGGTGCTGGTAAATATGCTCTTCACCCAAGAGCAGGCGATCAATGTAGCCAGCTGCTCCTCCAGTGCAATTGTCATATTTTCCAAAATCTCCAATGCCACCAGGACCAAGGTAACCTCTAAAAGGGAAACAACAGATGTGAACATGGGTAATCTGCTACCAGGTGTGGGTGTGGTTAAGGCTATGTTTTCCTGATCTAAGGCAAAAAAAAAAAAAATCTCCAAATACAATCGTGTTACCCACAAGCCTAAATCCCAGATAAAAATCTTTATCAAAAACGCATTACAGAGGAAGCATTAGCCAGCTCCTTGGAAAGAGCTGTTTAGACAACCAGTTGCATCCACAGCAGACACCCTCCCAGATTGTGCAGCTCAATGCAAGATTTGCTGTTCACAAGGCTGAATGCTGGGAGACCCAAAGGGCTGGCCTTATGGACATGAAACACTGCTCAACCATGGTTTAGAAACCCCAAAGGGTGCTCCTACATTCCCCCCCTCCCAACAAAACCAGCTTTTGTGGCCACTAGAAGGCCTCAGGAAGCTATACTCAACCCAGTTTTCTTAAGCTACTGAAATATAGTTCTTTCTCTGGCCTGAAACAAAGAGATGAAAACAATGAGTTAAATGCAGGAAATGTCTCTGCAGCTTCAGTGTTGGAGGCAGGGATATGCTCACTGCCTTCTGGAGAAGCGACATGCACGAGGCAGGAAGATTAAGTGAAACAGTGAGCTCCAAATTATGTTTGCTTTGTGGCTTCGCAGGCTGCAGCCCTGCATAAGAAGCAGATGAAAAGCTTCCAAGACAGGCAGCCATATTAACAGGAAGATCCCCTGCTGTCACAGAATCCAGTGCTGAGTCTCCCAGACCCACCGGAAATGTCAAAGATTTTAACTGGGGACAGCCAGAGAGATAGGAAAAAGCAGCAGGACAACCCCAGCATCCAAGACAGATGGCTTGCTGCCAGAGAAACAGAGCTGCTCAGATGGAGATTTCCATTGCCAACCACAAGAAAGGAGCTAAAATAAGAAAGGTCCTGGAACAGGCACAGCCAGACTCAGTTTCTAGCATCCCACAGGGCCACATCTCCAGAAGTAAGGAAAATCCCAGGCTCTCTCAGGGAAGAAGACCTAAAACTCCTTAACAAGAGCGAGGGGCATGCAGTCCCTCTACAACATGGGTATTTCCCCACCTAGAATCATATAACAGTAAGGCTGGAAGAGCCCTCAGGGTGTCATCTAGTCCAACCCCCTGGCTCAAGGTAGAATCATCTGTCTAAACCACCCCAGACTAATGTTTGTCTAACTTACACTTAAAATATGAAAAGATAGGGGTTCTGCAACCTCTCTGGTAAGCTGTTCCAGGGCTTAACCACTCTCATACTCATCCTAATATCCAACATAATTCTCCTGTGTTGCAATTCAAGCCCGCTATCTCAGTATGTGCCTGAACACAAAAGCAGCTGAAGGGACTTTGCTGTGACCAGGGCACCGATAGCAAGCATGGACAGCTGCAGCCTGAAAGCTCAGAACTTATGATATCAATGCAGTACGCCAACACCCACTGCAGGAGGTTCCCCATGCCTGCTGGAACATGCATGCTTGCAAGATCCTTCTCAGGAGGAAAGTCTCCACAGGTATGTCTGCACTACTTCTGTGGTTCTCCATAGATAACTGCCAAAAACAAAGCCCCTGCCATCCACCCCCACTCCATGCATGCCAAACCCAGAACTAAGGCAACAAGGAACATCTGGAAACACCCTCTCTTGAGGTCTCTGCCTTGGCCGTGCTTGTGAGCAGCAGTGTACTGGGGGAGCATTGTGAGGGGTCTCTAAAGTGTCCTCACTACCTCCATTCTGGGTTTGCAGTATGTGGAGCAGGAGCAGGTGGGCAAGGCTTCATTTTCAGCAGTAGACTCAAGACCACCATGGGGGCAGTGTAGATGTGCCCCTCATTTCCTCACCTCACAAGCATCTGGGTGATGCATGGTGTTCATATACAGCTCTGCAAGAACCTCAGGGAGATTTTGAACCTATTTCATACCTACCTGGGGGCAATAAAGATGTCAGTCTTATCCGATATTTCACTTCAACAAGGGAAAGATTATCCTGTGAAAATCCCTCTCCAACTGAACACAAAGCCTGTCCTCTTCAATCCTCCCTACCAATTCAGATCTAGAAACACTGAGTGGGAGCTCTGCATTGCGGGCTACCTGAAGGACCACCTGGCCCACTTGTTGCAGAACTGTAACATGAGAAATGTACAAAAGTACTATAAGATGCTCTGGAACAAAGCAATACTGCTTTTCTCCTGGTACACCTTCAGCTGATTCTGTCATGGGTAGGGACCATGTATATCTTTATGCTTGCGTTTCGTCCTGGGGTAAAAACAGCAACCCCAGCACAAAAGCATGACAAATGCTGTGTCTGTTCACATCCTGACAAACAGTCCCCAAACTTATCAAAAAAGCCCCGATGTTTCAGAAGCAGAAACCTGAAGGGAAGTCCAAGCATGATACTTACTGGGGGCAGCCAGGTACCTCTAAAAGAAAGGTCAGACACAGCCAAGTTGCTTCCAGTGACAGAATGAAAAGCCACTGTGGCCAGTAACACAGAATATCCTGAAAAGCAGAATACGGCATCTCCTGCATGAGAGGGAGGGAGGAAAAGAAATATGATGAACCAGCATATAAATATTGTCCACGAGAAGAACCATCTAACAGCATGTAAGTGCTTGGCATTATAGGCAGTCAGGAGTTAATGACCACAGAGGATTTTGCAAGACTTCCTATTTTTATTTTAGTATCCTGTTTTTCCTTTCCCCCTTATTAAGTCAAAGCAAGCAAATGTTTCTGAAGCTGAAATTTGCCAGGCTTGCTTTAAAAAAGAACAGTCTGTTTCAGAAGCCTGAGCAAAATCCTGTCAGCAGATTTTAAGTCAAATGAGAGATAATCACAACCTATTTTACCTCATTATAAAAAAGAGAAATGCTAGTCAGCCTTCAGAGGTGGAAATCTGAAACACTGGACTCAGCACAGATAAGGTCCTCACTTAGCTTACTGGGTGGGAAAGGAGGTAAAATAAAAGCATCTAAAGAAATTAGGAAAAGTCATGCTCAGGGTGTATCTGCTAAATTCATAAATGAGAGCAGAACATTTTGTGACAGCGCCGCCTGGTCTCTCTGCCTAGCCCGACAGACAAGAAGCTAGTCAGGCTCCCCCAGAGATGACGCTAGCAGATGGGGAAGCACTGGGAACACTTAATACCTTAAAACAAAGAATATATAGAATCCATGTTCAAAATCACAGCTGCATTTTTCAGCAATGCTGGAACCAAAGAGGCACTGACTATGGAACAGAAAGGACCCTTAAAATCCTCCATAAGCCAACTAAGTAGGCCTGACAGGCAGAGTTGCCTCCTGCTGCTAAACTCGACGGTAGCCCCCTTTGGCAGCTCTGCAAAATTTAGCAAATGTTAATGTTTTACACTGCATCTTCCAAACCCACATGCTGAGCAAGGAAACAGTGGCAGCACTGCAGGAGACAGAACCTCTTTGATGGCAGACCACTTGCAAAACAAGCAAATGAGATGGTACTGGGTCTTCCGTAGTGCTTACAATCTCCCTCCCATCTGAGGCCCACTCACCAAGTTCTCACTCGCAGCCACGACCCTGGCAAAAAGGAGTTCCATGATGGCAACCACCAGGTAGGTAAAGCCCAGCCTCTGAAGCACACCTGGGATCCGCAAGCTGTCCCAGGACACTACGGCAGACACAGAGACAGTCTAAGAGAGAAGCCAGCTTCAGGCTCTTCTTTACATATAGGAACTGCACTACTTCAGAGACAGGCAGACAGATTACTCCTGAGGGTGTCATGGTCTGGTTATGCAGGAGTAAGTCTCTGTGCCTCATAGGGCACTATCATGGGTCTCCAAGAGCCTCATACATATTCATACTCTTAAGTCTCCCAATGCGCCAGGTGATGGGAACTGTAATCAGTGCCAGCCCAAAGAGGTGTGCAGCCTATAGAGCTGCATGCAACTCAGGCAAGGGAGTGTACTCTAGAATCCCAAAATACATAGGTGCTCCCCGAATACCTCTGTCCAAAACTGCTGTGCTCCGCCAACTAACCTACACCTTACCCCTCTCCGACCACAGTGCACAGGATGTGATGAGCAGGTCAGTACAGTGGGGAGGGGCTGGCTGCACTGGGATCAGGTGGAAGGATCCAGAGGGTTTCAGAAGGCCCATGGCAAAGCCAAGTGAGTTAGAGAATAGAAGCACATTGAGAGGGACTGCTGCATTTTCTGGAGTAGGACCAGAAGGGAGCAGACCCTAGGTCCTGGGGTGAATGGGGATTTGCAGTGGGTTCAAGTAAAGGCCTGTGTACTCCAGAGCAAGGTGGACCTAAAGGCACATCAAGCTCCCCAGGGAGCCAAACTGAAAATCCTGCAGCAGATTCACAGATATTGAAAGAGCAAACATAGCTGAGCCCCTGAGCTGTGAAGCCAGGCTCTAGAAAGCTTCCTCAGGGAAAGAAGGCACCTGGTGCACTCACTGCATTGCCAGGTTCAGGGACTGACACTGTTGCTACGATTTACTTCAGTTTTCAACCAAGCCCACCTCACAGCCGGGTGGAGGAGGTGGGCAAAGATCAGGGCTGTACCATGATAATCAGACACTGTGCATCTTGCTTCATACACATCTATATAAACTTAAATATTTGTTCCTACTCCCGGCTGTTACTGTCCAAGTAGTGTCCCACCTTCCTGCAACTTCACAACACTATGCCTGTTCTTCTTGCAAAGACAACAGTCTAAAGGCAAGAATGTGAATGCAGTCTCTTATGCTACCTATAAACGTGTCAAAGTGGATTCGATTAATCGAGCCTGATCCATGTCTGCTGAAGTGTGCTAATTTGCGTGCTCTAGCGGCCTTTGCATCACACGTATTCAGCATCCCCACATTTCAAAATGGTGGTTGGGTTGGCTTTAACTAAAGCTTTTCAAATGAGCTTTAATTAAAGCACCCCTGCCACCATTTCGAAGTGTGGAAACGCCAAATACACGTGACACTGCGGGTGCTTTAATGAGAGCGACTCTTGAGAGCTGCTCTCATTAAAGAGCTCCCCCCAACTCCCACATGCATAAACACCCTTATAGACTGGATATCTTTTTGGGAGATACGTTTTAGTCAGATAGCTATAGAAATACATTAAATAAATTTTCAACCTGTGTTATTCAAGAAGTCAGGAGAGATGATTTAATCACCTGTTCTGGCCTTAAATCTATGAATGCAAGTACGGAGGATTCTTAAACACATATTGTACATTTATCTACACATTTTAACAGCTCATTGTTATAGATTACGGGCTTGGACACAGCACAGCTTTACATTGATGTCATCTGCCTTTGTGTAAATACGAAGCAGATACAGATCACAGGGCTAAATGCTGGAATAAATGCACTGAATTCAGTGTAGTTACCCTGGGAAAAATCAGGCTACCCTGGAATCTGCTCCAGATTCTGAGCATCCACATGGGTATATCATCCACATGGGTATATAAAACCGTTGGAAACTACACTGTTGTAAAAGTGCGGTGTGCCCAGCCCCTATATGATACTACTGGTGACAGGTAACATAACATTACAGCACATTCAGAGACTTATGCTCTTTAGCATGTTCCTGGGGCAGAGACTGAAAGTAGATTCCTTCTGCAAGGGATAAAACTGGGGGGAAGCACAACTGTGAAAAGTTAACAGAAGCAAACAAGCGAGCTCTACTTACTAGGTCCAAGGCAATAATTGGGGTTCACGACAAGGACTCCGATGAGGAAGAGCAAAAAACTCCTCCAGAGAATTTTCCCCAGTGCTTGCCACTTTGAACATCCCCGCCTCAGCAGTGAGCTCAGAGACAGTGAAATGGAGCTCCCCATGATAAACACAAACCTACAAAACCAGGCAGTGGTGAAATGAATCAACAGTTGGAAAAACACAAACGTCTAATTCACAGATTCTTCAGGTACCAAATATTAATGCTCTATTTGTGTCATTTTCTAAGGAGAGCCAAAAGAAATCAGCCCATCTTGAATAAAAACTGACAGTTTTACTTAGCTTTACTGAGAGGATTATTAGAAAACTAAGTGCACATCACGTCTTTATCCTCCTTACACCAATAAGATGAAAGCACTGAATCCAGGGAAGTAATGGCATGTCAGGCCTTTTGTGGTATGAATGTTTTAGCAAATAGAAAAATCACATTGCCTATGATAAAAATCAGTATTTTTGACTAGAGAAAAAGCTGAGCCACAAGGCTAGGGTCTGGATTTGCACTCCAGTATGATCTGCCCCTAGGTTTGGAACAAGGGAATCATCAGGCTGGATTGGACCCATGGTCCATCATAGCCCACCATTCTGGATTAGACAGAAGGCAATACCCAATGCTTCAGAGGAAGGCAGCTATGGCATGATCTTCCTCAGAAAAATGTCAGCCTCTGCCCAATTACGAAGAGGTTGGCTGAATCCAAATGCCTCTTTTTTAAGTATTTTACCTTTCCCAAACCTTGGCCACAACAACATCTTGTGGCAATGAGCTCCATAGATTCATAACATACTGAGTGAAAAAGTATTCCCTTCACCAGCTCTGAATTTGCTTCAGTGCTGAAAGTCCCCATGTCCTCGTGCTAAGAAACAGGGAGATAGAGATGATTCCAATAACCAGAGATAGCATGGTGCCCTTGTAAAGGCCAACGTAAACCATGATGTCATCCATCTTGGCCCTGGTCAATTTTCACTTGTCACCATCTAACAAAACACCACTCCTCAAAATGCATTTTCCCTATGGGTTTGAGCTGTACTGAAGCAACATGGCCCACTGCAGGACTCTTTTAAGCTTACCTTCAAAACTATTCATCACAAAGACTTACCATGGAAACACAAGATCAGCCACCGTTAATCCTACAAGGAAACAAAAAAGATATGTTATTTCCCTTAAAAGAACAAAGGAGATGCAGAGCATTTATAATTATTTGACAGACACATTCTTCAGCTGCAATCTATTAAAAGCTATTAACAACTAACTACTCTGTTGGTTAGACCTGGTTGATCTGTCCCTTGTGTTGTTTCTGAAACACTGTCTGAAACAGTAGCTGTGTCATAATAAGATTTCTGATAAGGGATCTTCACTGCTCTCCATCAAAGCAGCACAGCACAACACTGTTGAATGCATGGTTGTCATTGACTGCATGTCTGTAAAGCATCTAATTTGATGGTACTCTGAACTGGTTGTGCCCTCTAGGTCCAGTCACAGTATAATTGTTAAATAAAAAGCAAAAACGTATGATCAGAGGTGAAAGCCGAAAAGCCATGAAGAGATTTCTATATGATAGTTTCCCAAGATTGTCTCCTATCAAGAATAGCCAGTCTTCCTCTTCTTACGTATTATGCAGCCAGATCCTTCATTGATGAATATTGGCATAGTTTCTCTGGTGTTGATAGAGCTACATTGTAATACACTAGTTGCACAGCTAGCCTTATTGGTCTATTTCTATGACTAAAGTCTGGATTACTGTTCAAAGCATACTCTACCATTCCAGCTCTGATGCTTGAAGAACCAATATTTTCCTCCTCCATAATTAACAAATACCATTATGATGAGAGAGAGCCTAAGAAAACATAGAAGATAATAAGAATAAATATACAGGATAATAAAGCAATAAACTACAAATGCAAACTCACAGTTATTTTTATCCCATTAAAATGTGTTTAAATGTTTCTCCTTTTAAACATAATTATAAGCAAAACACTTACATTTCCTGTGCAGGGGACAGAGGTTCAGAGGAAACTGAGTTATAAGGGCATTTGAAAAAGTTACATTACTAAGCATTAGTGTGATTTTTTCCTCATATTCCCATTATGTGAACACTGAAGGAACTACACACAGGTATCACTCGGTCTGCACTATTGACTTCTCATACTCTTTCAACCAATACAGCCTCCAAATGTTTCAGGAAATCCAGGAGCTAGCTGCCTGATGGTTTTTCTGATAAAAAAGACCCCCCCTAGATTGTCACATCCCTAAGTCACAGTATTTACTGAATGCAGCAATTAATTCTGTGTACTTCACAAACTTCATTCAGCAAGGTATGGTCAACCATCTGAAAATGGGGAATAAGTATCATTCCTCCCACTGTAGAGCAGTTAAATAAGGAAAAGAATAGTTCTGACAAAAAATTCTGGACTAGGGAGGTGGACAGAAAAGTTGTGTTTTTACTTATATAACCCTCCCTGAAGGAAGAAGAATTATTTTGTAAAATAAAAGGAAATGTAATTCAAAATCATATGATGCTTCCCTTGAAAAAGGAAATGTCAGAAAAAGCTTCTTGTCAGCAAGATGTCAACCTCTGCAACATGCAAGAAGAAAGGGTTTAGGTTTTTTTGGTAATGTCTTTTAGAGGACCAACGGAATAGCTAGGAGAGATGTTAGATAAGCTTTCCGGCACAAAGTGCCCTTTTTCCACTCTATACAATGTATCCCTTAAGAGCCATTGCCAAAAATATGCTTGGCCTCTCAAATACTTCCTTGGCTCACATATTTCCGCAGCTACAACAACACCCTGGGCACATCCGCACGAGTGTGCACATGTGGTTTGTGGCACAGCAAACTGCATGCAGCACACGTATACGCATGTGCTGTGCTGCTCATTTGCAGCGCATTTTTTTTTATTTTTTTTTTTTACACTGGGAGATCCGGTATAAAAAAACAAAACAACAAAAAACCACTGCTAAAAAAAGTGGCATGCCACATGTGGCAGCAGCATGCGCTGCCAGAAACTGGAGCCTGGCCAGCCAGAGCCATGCTCTGGCTGCCAGCCAGGTTCTGAGCAGCTAGCTCAGTATCAGTTGACCTGGGAGGCCCCCAGGACTCCAGATAAGGCTGCTTGGGCCTGCACAGGTGCTGGCCCCAGCCTCCCCTACCCCACCTGGGTCCCTTTGCCACATGCCAGAATGCACATGCAGAGGAGTATCTGGGGACAAGCAACATCAGCACAAATACGTGCCACTGCTATCTGTCCTGCGGGAAAGGCAAGCCCCCGCACATGCATGCTCATGAGGACATGCCCTCTGAGTCTACTTTGCAATACTCTCTTGAGAACAGCAGTGGAAGGGCTCACAAGGTTGGCACATTTAGACCAAAACTACAAAGACGCAGGGAAAGGCACAACAAGAAACAACTCTGACAAGGAGGGAAGGGACATCCTCACAGAGCAGGGCGCATCAATTGGGGGTATGCATACCCCCAGGGGTACTTGAAAAGGGGCTAGAGGGTACACATGGGTGAGCAGACACAAGGGACCGCCACCCACCACCTGCGCCACCGCCTCCCAAGAGCAGGGCTGGCGGGGCAAGGGCAGGGGCTCCCCTCTGCAAGCTGCACAGGCACTGCCCGGCCAGCTGGATGTGGCGGGGTATACGGAAACTTGAACACGGCGGCCACTGCTGCTGCCACATACAAGCCTTCCCCCCAGCTCTGAGTCCGGCCACTGCCACCCCGCTCCCCTCACTCCATCAGAAGTGTACCCAGAAGGGGTATACTCCTTAAAAAAGGTGGAAAACCCCCATCATGGAGCTTTAGTTTGCTAGCTTATACACACTGCTCACCCATGGCACAGGGCCGGCTGCAGGCTGGATCCGGCTCCCAGACTCACTCCCTTCACCCTCCCCCTGCATACCTGATCTGCTGGCTGCTCCAACTGGTTTGGGACCCAGGCTGTGTGCAGTGCAGATCCCAAAGTGCCCAGAACAAGCATGGTGTGTATTACAGTCCAGCCAGAGCAGCATGCAGTCACTTCCCCAGCATGACTGTGCTGCAGTGTCTATTCCAGCTGCTGTGGAATCCATGCTGCACGCAGTGCAGGGTCCAGACTAGCTGGAGATGCCACCAGATCAGGTATGCTGGGGGAGGGGAAGATGAAGGGGTCCATGGACTAGACCCAGAGAACCACTCAGGCTGGATGAGTTTGACACCTTTGGGCTAAGAGAATCAGCAATGCTTAAGTTTTCATGAGCTCACAAAAACTTGTGCATGTCTGATTCAGTTAGCCTATAAGATAGATGCACCTCTACTTTGCCTTCTGCCTGACTTTAGACTAACATGGCTAACTACTGTTCTTTTCCCTCAGAGTGAAGGTTTCTTACTATGACCATAATGCCACTCATTCAAACTTAGAAAAGCTTTGAGCTGAGTGATACAAAAGCCACTGTAGCTGCAATTTACCCTCGGAATGTGTCGAGGGAGCGCAGGCGCCTCTGGGAGACACTCCACACATTCGTACCATGGTCACCGGTAACAGAGTCTGCTCCAGTTGGGGACCCCAGCTCCTTTGAAACAGAAACAATACATGAAAGGAAAGTGCTAGGTGGCACCTACAACTCTGAAGTCTTGACCTTTGGGACAACCAAACTTGGCAAGCTCAGGTCTTGGGATTTGAAATGCTTTTAATTCCTGTAATTTTATTTTTCCGATTTCTCTCCTCCTTTCTCCACTGTGGTAACTTCCCACATTTCTCATTTTGTACTTCTTCCCATCAGGGGCTCGATCACACTGCTAGACCCGTGCTGCTGCTTTAACTAGGGTGGGAAGAATGGTCTTGTGAACACCACACTGGATTCACGTCCAAGGTTAGACAGTGTCATAGTGTGATTGCAGGACAATTGTTCAATTTACCCTGGACCTCAGTTCCCCAAGTGTAAAATAAAGAAAATACTTCTTTTAAGTATCTCACACTACTGTTTCAGGGACAAAACTATGAGATTCTCAGACACCACAGCAATGAAGACCTGGTGAGAACCCAGGCTATTCATGGAATAAAAAGAGAGCACTGTGGGACAGTTTCATCTAGGGTGGACCAAGCACACTGGCCACATTTGGATCTCATTTACACCCGTGTAAATACAGAGTGATTCCAGTAATGACTCATCTTCCAAGGGGTTAACAGTGCAGAATTAGGCCTCAACACTTTCAGGCTCTGGTCTTCCCCAGAGAAGTCTGACCTGATTTCAGATCATCCCCCTAAACTGCCTGTAGCACTGGAAGCAGACAAAGAACTAGAGGTGCTTTCCATCTTTCACTGTCCCTGTCACAAGGGGTCATTCTTTCAATGGCATATTTCCTTCACTGAAACTAAAGAGTAGTAAAAGCTGACTGAATAGGAGCCAGAAGGGTGATCTAAATTAAACCTGAGTGCAGAGCCCCATGTAGTTCTCTCTACAGACTGAAAGAGCTGACTGTCCTCACTGCACCAATTGTCAGGGAACCCACACATGCAAGGGATGTGGCTGCCAATTTACTGAATCCCCAAAAGGGCTAACTGATGTGAGCTCTGAGTGTGAAAACACAGACAGTGAATAAGTGCAGTTAAGTAACTCACAGAATTAATGAGACGATCCGTTTCTCTAGGGTTCAGTTTCTTATGAAGCCAATTCTTCACTGGATCCATGCTGTGAATTAACAACAATTAACCAAAATCATATTGTGTCTTATTTAGCATGAATACCAAATTACACCTTGATCACAAAGTAAGTTGGAGCAATATACATCACAGACTGAGATAATCTTTACTACAAAAAAAGGTTTTCACTAGGTAAAACGCTAATACAGACACTATGCAAAAAGCTATGTAAAAAAGACTTAAGCTAGCAAAGTCAAACATACAAAAACTAGGAAATACCAGAATTAAATTGATCCATGCAGCTCTAATTCATCCCAATTCTGCACAGGCATTATGGTAATGGTCAAATAACTACATGATCACAAGCATGGGGCTGAGGTAATTTCTTTTGTTTGCACATAGGACAGCCTGCCTCAATCAGTGTACAGGATAGAGGGCTATATAAAAATAAAGCGTGTGTTTAAATCCCAGTGAGGTCAGTGGGATTTAAGTACATGCTGAAGTACTATCCTGAACTTTTCTGAATATGAGGCATTTCTGAATCAGGGGCATCCGCACTGCTAACACCAGTGGTGAACTGAAAGACTGACTGTATTAAACTCCACTACAGTGGATCCAGTTGGAGTACTTCAACACTTAGAAAATGGTAACTATATGATAGTAAAATAACATGCATCTGAACTGTTGTTCAGGACCCCTGAAGCAAAGTACAGCAGTTTCTTGGGAAAGCAATAAAGTATGTGCTTAAGTTCTTTTCTGAACAGAGGGTAACATTCTCCCTACTTATTCAATCTTCCTCCTGTTTCTTGTGCTGAAGTCCAATATGGCAGGTAAAATACAGCAAATTACTTGGCATGAAATGAACTGCTGTTCAGTCAGCAACATAACAGATATAAGGCAATGAACTTAAGAGTTGGAAACAGGCAACAGAACAGCAGCCTGGCAAACATGGCTGAGGCAACAGAAATGCTATCCTCCTGAGGGTATACTAGGCACCTGCCCCAGCACTGGCTTACAAAGCCTTTTATAAGAAAGAATTTGTTAATTCTCTAAAGCCTATTTTAATCATTGGCCGTTCAGTGAGGCTGGACAGTAGTGCCTATGAGTGATCAACTGTGATGCAAAGGTCCGACAGCACCAATGGCTGGCAGACCACTGAGATATCCAGTCATTACCAAGACAAAAGAAAAAGGTGACATGTCCCATTATCACTTTTGTGAATCACCCAGTCTCACCCTGTTCCCATCATCTCAAAGTAGCACTACTCCATTCAGTCAGAGTTCAATTTGTCCAATACATTTCTTGCTCTCAAATCAAAACCTTGGCTTAGCCTTTGAAAGACAGTTTAAGACCAGACCCTCAAGAGATGCAAACTGATACAACTCTACATCTTCACCAAAAAGAAGGAACTAGCTTATAAACTACAAGTCTATGACTATGGCTCACAGGTGCTATCACAATACAAATAATAATTCTAGCAAGCATGCTTTAATCTGCAACAAAAATCCAGGAAGCTCTCCCTCATACACAGGGATGTTTTACAGATTATGTGAACTTACTTTATAAAAAAGTGTCCCAAAGTCAAGATGCTGAGGATTCCCATATAAATAAGGAATGCATACAGGATAGCTGTATGAAAAAAAAATAAAAAGATGGCTCATCTAATAGAAACAACAGGCACCCTAGGCCACATACACTGATGCATTATACTGAACCAAACACTGCAAAAACAAAGAAGTGATTCAGGCCCACTATATAGTACTATAATCTGAGAAAATACTGTGTAGTACTGTAATCTGCATAGTACTGTAATCTAAGAAAGCTCCATACAAAAAGAAAGGACATTAGGTTGAAGTGCAGCCTCCTGAGAGTAAATTTCAGTATAAAACAGAAGCAAAGCAACCAAATTACAAATATAGTTGTAGCAGAGTGGCTATAGAAAGAATCAGTTTGGTATCAGCTGTAAAGGAAGAACTGGCCAGATTAAGCAGCAGCATGAATGTAGAGTAAAGGAAGCAAGGATGACACACTGAGTTTGTAAATATGGGGGATTTCTCTATAGAGTTATAGGGATAGGAAGGATCAAAGAACCATCTCTTACAAGGATTAAGAATGAAGGAAGGTACTGATTAGAGATTGGAATGGTTCTGGGAAGAAGATGAGGGGAAGAATGAGACAAAAGGCATTAAAATATAAGTAAAGGGGTTAGTAGAAAAAGTATGAAAAAGGGGTTTAAAATTCTGGCTGGAAGCAATACATAATTGTGGGATACTGGAAAAAAAGGAACATGGGTGTGCGTGCACATATGCGCATCTGCATGTGTGTAGAAGAGAGAAACAGGATCTAAAACTTCAAACATAATGTAAGCACGTGCCTTCTGACATTTATTGCTTATTTGAGCCTGTCTTCTCCATAAGATTCCAAGCTCTCTGGAGCACAGATGGCCTCATACTTATGATTCATGCATGACCCTTGCAGAAGGCTATGGGGTCCCAAGGCTTCTAGGTGCTGATGTGACATACAAAAATAGAAGACAAAGTGAAAGAGCGGGCCAATGATATTTCCCT